CATGCTGGCTGGGGAATTCTGGGAGTTGAAGTTCACACATCTTAAAGTTCCCAAGGTTGAGGAACACTGCTCTAAGTGACCTGTCTAACTATATTGCCTATTTATAGGGGTTCCACGGGAACAGAGCAGTGTGGGGCTACCTCATCTGGGCTGCTCACTTTCGGCCATTGAGGGATGGCAAAGAGTTAGAGCTTTCTTTTCTGTATCTCTTCATTGTCCTTTAACTGGTTGTCCAGATTCAGTAATTCTGGCTTACTTAGTTTTTTTCCTAAATTTTAAATAATCTCTATTCTTCTTCTGTCTTTATGCAAAATTCCAAGTCTCTCTTCCTTCCTTTTTTCCTCCTTTCTCCATACACACATACAGGTGAAATTTTTTGTCTGAAGCATACGAGAACTACTTCTAATTAATATAAACTAGTCAGAAACCCCAAGCAAGAAAGACAAAGAGTGAATCTGACCCACCATGGGCAAGAGCTTAGGTCTGGGTCTGCACACTAGCTATATGGCAGCAAAGCACCAATACTAATACTTTTCCACTTATATTGCTTCAGTGGATGGTCGTGCAACAGCACTATCTACGATGACCCACTCCATGTTGGACAGAAATGGGCAAGAAGACTTCCCAGCAGGCTCTTGGGGACGTTTTCACACAACCTTTTGCTGATAAAGTCAATCACATTTGCCAAAGTCTTGACTCTTTGCAGGCAATGGCTGGGAAAAAACTTGCAGTATTACCTGGGACTCTTTTCAGTCTAAGGATTGGATGAAGTGAATGAGGTACTTTCTGACATAAGTTCTGCCAGCTGTGGTCCAGACCATGCCCCTCCTCACTTTTTTAAGGGCTTGATGGCTGTATCTGAGAGGTGATCCTTGCCTTGTTATAGTAGCAACCTTGAAAGTGGAATTTCATACCATAGCATTGCAGCGTCAGGTACCACTTCACATCTGTACAACAACAGGGAGGTGAAGACAGGGTGCAATGAACAGCTACATCTTCCCTCTCCCTGTTTCTTTTTCTTCCTTCTGGATTTTTAACGATTTCACCTGATGAATTTTGGACATTCAAAAGATTTTACCCTGTTTTGTAAATCTTCTGTTGTCCTATGATAACTATTACCTTAACATGGGTTTTGGACACACGAAGCAGAAGTAGGCATGTTTTTGATGGCTTGGGGGACTGCCCTTAATTTTGTGGGCGGAGAGATGTCTAGAGATGGCAGAATGATGGTTCCAAATGGGCAATGCCATGTCACAGACATTGACAGGATTAAGATTTGGTTGGGGGGGGGGGAAGTTAGAGGGGAATTTGGCTTGCCCTGCCCTGCCCTGCCTTGCCTTCCTTGTGTTAAAAGCTTACATGGCCATTTTTGTTGAATTTCTCACTGCTAGAAAACAGTGCCTTTGACTTTGAGGAGTTATGGTTGGAATGGGATCTGGAGGCCTCAGACTGGGGCTTTGGGGCCTCAGGCAACTTTGAGATGGTAAACTGTTCGTTCCTGATGTAAAGAAAAGCTAAAAGGAGGGGTCTGCTACTGCAGTTGTAGATAGAATCTCTAAGTCAATGTTTCTCAACTTCAGCAATTTTAAACTGGCTGGCTGGGGAATTCTGGGAGCTGAAGCCCACACATCTTGAACTTGCTGAGGCTGAGAAACTCTGCTCTAAATGGTGCTGTATCCCCAACTATAGGCCCACCAGAAGTCAGAAAAGGATCAGTTTCACAAAAGAATGATGATAAAGCTCGTCAGATGAGACGTGTATGTAGTTTGTTCAATCCACTTTTCCTGCTCCCATCACTTTATAAATCTAACCTTTTTTCCCTTTTTTTTTTCATCAATTAAAGAATTACTTGTACCATTTGCACTGATCCTTGGTATCAGAAAGGAATTGAATCACTGGAGAGATTCCATGAAGAAGAGAGGTTGATTTATTGTGTGTGGCTTGTGGCACAAGACTGGTCAGAGACGCATATGACAAGGAGTCAGGAAATGGGACAGGAAAGCATTCAACTCAACATGGAACAACACAAGGAAAAAAGGATGAGATGTAATCGGCAGTCACTTCTGTTGCCAAGGAGACTTCCAGATTGGGGTCCACATGCTGAGTCATTCCCTTTTACTTCCAGCGACCACCAAGCCTGGTTTTTCCAGCACCTTTTTTGCTGTTGAGGAGAGGTATACAAATTTATAATATTATAACCTGTGGTTACTAACAGCAAACATTTTTAGTAAAAAATTCAGATAGATAGATAGATAGATAGATAGATAGATAGATAGATAGATAGATAGATAGATAGATAGATATAAAATTTGTGAGTAAA